TTTAGTGCCTACTAATAAACTAGGTTTAGGAGGGACCTAGCTAAACAATTAGTAAACTAATTATTGTAATTAGATAAACTAATTATTATAGATGTCTTAAATGCTTTCTAATTACTTTCTAATTGCCCTCTAATTACCCTTTAATTACCCTCTAATTACTCTCTAATTGCCCTCTAATTGCCCTTTAATTACCCTTTAATAGCTTTTTAATTGCCCTTTAATTGCCCTCTAATTGCCTACTAATACAGCATTGCTAAAGCAATGTAGCAAACGTTGCATGTGCCTAGTTGCCTAATTACTAGTACACACTAGCATGCATGCAGTCCCTCCTAACTAGTACGCACTAGACTTTCTAGAACTCTGTCTTAACTTTATGCCTGCTAATTGTTGCCAATTGTTGTCTAAGGTAGCCAGGTCTAGGTCTAGGTCTAGGTCTAGCGTCTAGGAAGAAAACAGGAACAATAAAAAAAAATAAGCATATAAAGCATAATAATAAAATACATAACTATAAATAAAAAAAAGACTTAATTTAAAATAGTTATAGCCTAGAGTTATATTATAGTTAGTTTAAAAATATAAAAAGATTAGATACACTTATTAATATATAACACTAGTAACTAAATCTAACATATGCAACTATTTAAAAGAGAGTAGAGAGGCAATAAGTAATAGTTAGAAAGTAAATATAGTTAATTAAAAAAAAGTATAGTAAAAAAAAGTTTAAAGATATAGTTAAGTAAAAAAAAAAAAGTTTAAAAGTGTGTAAAAAAATAGTTTAGTTAATTAAAAAAAGTAATAAAAAAAAAAGTAAAACTATGTTACTATAAAGTGTTTAGTATAGCCTAATGCATAGACAAAGAGAAAACTTAGCTAGTTAATAAAGGTAGACAAGCACCTATAAGGCAAGGTAGAGAATAGAGTAACTATATAGTGTTTAGTATAGCTTAAATTAAAAAAGTAAAAGAAACTTAACTAATTAAAGTAAAAAAGTTAAAAATAATTAAAAAAAGTTTAACAAAAAAAAAAAGGCTTATATATACTCTAGCTTTTACCTTAGTAGCAAGAGCACCTAACTAGACTAGAGTTTCTACCTAGTAGTAAAAGTACACATTATAAGATTATTTAAAAAGATATAAAAAGCGCTAGTGTTTAACTAGTATAAAAAATTATAACTTTTTAAACATTTTTTACTAATTATAACTAAATATTACCTAATTTAAAGGTAAAAGTAAGTAAAAATAAGTAAAATATAACATATATAAGTAATTATAAGGCATTAGATTAATAATAAGCAGGCTAGGCAGCAGCAGTAAATAAAAAAAAAAGTCTTACTAAAGTAAATATATATTACATGTAATTAATTAATTAGTGTTATAGAGTTAAACTATATTAAATAGCAGGTAGTAAATATAAGTAGATAGTTTATAATAATTAAGACACATAGTAATATAATATTACTATAATTAAGATAGCTTTAGCTTCTTTAATTTTTAACTATAGTCTTACTCTAACATATTTAAGCCTTTATATAACTTTATTTACTACTACTATGTCTTTAAATTATTTAAGTAAAATATAAGCATTTTTATAAACTTTTTAAAACTATTAAACTAATAAGCATTATTATTATTAAAGAACTTTTAGAAATAGTAAGCACATAAAACTGTAATAGTATGCTAGTAACTAGGTAATCTATAGCTAAAAATTTGTCTTAATATATGTAATATGTAGATAGGCTATAGGTTAGACAAAGGCGTACAAGCTAATATAAGGGGACTAGAGAGCAGTTATGTACCTAACACTGCGCAGTTGTTAAAACTAGTAAGCAACTAACAGCGCACAGCGTCTAATTAGCTGCACTAAGTAAATAGTGCTTTATAATACTATTATACATTATAGAAGTGCTTGCTATAAGTATATATAAAATAAAAATATATAATTACTTTATTTATCTTTAAAAGCTTTATTAAGACCTTTATTAAAATTACTATTAATTAAATTATTAACTAAACTTTTAAAGTTACTATAAGTTATACTTTTAACTATTTCTATAAATTCTATTACATTAATATAACATAACTTTTTTATGCTAATGCTTGCTAAATTAGTTACATCTAGTGCTAGTATATAATTACTAGATATAACATTACTAATATTAAAGTCTATAACTTTTAACATTAATAACTTAATACTACTAGTAATAATATTAGAGCTTATAATAGGCTAAGAGAGCTCTTAGTTAATCTAACTAGTTAAGCGCTTACAGCGCCTATAACTTAGTAAATAAATAGTAAGGGTAAATGTCTCTAGCTTAATATTATGCTGTGTATACTTATTCTTGCTCTTCTTTTTAAAGGCGCCCTTTATTAGCGCATAGAGTTGCATATAGAACTAGTAAAATAGTGTAAGATAACTAAAAGTAAAGTTTATGTTATAAGTCTTATTTTTAAAGTGCTGCATATTAAGCTTATATATATAGTTTATAAGCTTAAGTATAATATTAACTGCTTAAAAAGTATTTAGCTTTTTATATATATTAACTAACTTAGAGGTAAGTATAGACTGCTAAAGCGTTAGAGTTAACACCCTATCTAAGACTAACTAGCAGAGGTGTAGCAGCTTAGTACTATAGCGCTTCTAACTAGATTTAAAGAAAAATATAGCTAATAAATTAATTAAGTAATAAATAATTCTAATATTACTAAACTTAACTACATACTGTAAAGTAAAAAATATCTTAATTTTTTAAAAAAACTAACATGTTATTATCTAGTTACTTTTAAAATTATTATAGCCTTTTTATGTAGTAAGTATAAAGACTTTTTTATATATCTACTTAAGTAACTTAATATACTAGTTAAGTAAAAGCTAACTAATAGCCTTATTATAAAAACCCTACTAGTATTGCTAGACATCTACTGCATAGATATCTAGCACCTAGCCTTAGAGATATCTACTATTACCTATCTTTTAGTAGAACAACGCAACTATTTAGGCGCCCTAGCTTAAATGTATTAGTAGCACAGCTATATAATACTTAATATTGCCCTAATTAATACTAGCACAGTTTAAGTGTATAATATTATGTAAAAGATTACTAGAAAAGTCTGTACCTTTAAGTATATTAAAGTGCGTATAAATAATTATATAAGTAAGTGCCTAAAAAATATAAAAATATATAAGTAGTTTAATTATCTAATTCTTTTTATTATATAGCTAGAACACACTGCGCTGCTTTTTTTAAGACTATATATAAACTTAGTAGTTTTCTAGTTACCTTATACTATTTATAGCTATGTTTTAAAGCTTAGCTTTTTTAGATTTATAAAAATATTTAACTACTAAAGCTAAATATTATTATATACTTTATAAGTCTTATTAATAACACTTTTATTAAAAAATATTACTCTTAGATAATTTACTTAGCTAAGTTTTTTATATAGTAAAACTTTAATAGCTAGCATTAACAGTAACTAGTTCTTTAAGCTAATAAAGACCTTTAATACAGCAGCACTATAGATAGCAGCTATAGTGCGCAACATATAGCATAATGTAATTTGCTTGCTTATATAGTCCTAAATTATGCTAGGCGCTATACAGATCTAATTAGGCTGCAATGCTATGCTAGAATTAAACATAGACTAGGTTAAACTATCCTTAGAGATCTATAGACATTTTATAATAAGTGCTGTTATTAGGTTCTGCTAAATAGCTGTTGCAACGCCTATAGCATAGTTATAAGTCTAGTTAGTAAAGTTATAATTATTATATATAATTATTAACTAAGAATTATGTGCAAAACTTAGCAGCTTAAAATTAAGTAAAATATAAGCTATATAACATAATATTATAACTTATAAGCTTTTTATATAGTCTGCTATTTTATTAACTTTTTAGTTTATAATCTTATATAAGTTATAAATACCTAAGCCTAATAACATCTCTATAACACACTGTTTTATACTACTACTATGCAAATATAGACCTAGTAGGCAGGCAAGGTAGTTGCATCTCTTCTAGGCCTAGTAATATAAGATAATAAAAGTAATTAAATACACTTTACTATTTTATAAACTCTTAGCCTTACTATAACTACTTTAAGCACTTTACTTATTTTATAAAAGTCTTTTAATAAACCTGCTCTAATTTAAAGCTTAATTAGCTATAATTAACTTTAACTTAGTAAAATTAACCTTATCTAGCCTAAAAGCTATATTATACTAGTTAAAAAACTTTTACTTAATAAAACTATTAAGTTTTTTTATAAATATAATAAAACTAAGAACACTAGTAGCCTTATTATTTTTACTTAACACTATATAAATGTTTAGCTGTTTTAGTGCTAATTAAAGAATTATTCTATGTCTACTAGGTAGTAGAGCCTTTAATAACAGCAGGTCTTATAAATATAACTTAATAAATTTACTTATTAGCATTTATAGCTTATTTATTAACACTAAGACCTACTCTAGTTTCTTTAATTTTAGAGTATAAATAAGTGTAAATAACTAAACGCGCTAAGTAAACACGCTTACTACTTATAAAGTTATAAAAAGATAAGTTATTAAAACTAAAGCCTAAAGCTTAGTAGTAACTATAAATAAAAGTAAAAAAAATATAAAAGAAAGTAATAATAAAAGTAATAATAAAAAAAGTAGCAGCTTATCTACTAAAAGAAGATAAAAGAGTTATAGACGCTAGCGCAGACATAGAGTAGGACTAGTAGACTTATTAGCTATTTTGTACAGTAAACAATGTGTAAAATGCGTAACAATTTAATAGATAATAGTAAAAAGTTATGTAGCTATTAGCCTAAAGTTTAGAGATGTTTAGAAAAAAAAATGTGTAAATATTAATATAATGTATCTTTATATAAAAAGTAAGCACTAAAATTAGTTGTCTATATAATTAATTACTAAAGTCCCTTAGATAGCTAGGGAGAGAAGCTAAATCTAGCATCCTTATTGGCCAGAAAGATAGCGTGAGCGCCACCGGCGCGACTAGCATGGGTTTATGTTGACTAGCAAGGGTATCAGGGGCTCTGCCCCTGTCGGAGCTTCGCCCCTTCTCTCCCCAATCGGCTGAGCTAGCTGAGATAATTCGCCACCACAACTACCCAGCTTCTCACAGGTATGGTTCATTCCAATAAGACAATCACAGAGACATTAACACAATAATAGCTCACCCAGAGCTTGCGGGAGCCATCAGCGCCAGGAACTCCCGCCCAAGGAATCACGAGCGTGGCGGGCTCGCTAGTGGTGAAGACACCGTGCTTCGAGGAACTAGCTTGACATAAGGTTACGTGAACCAGTGTCACGTGCGACATTAGCTGGGCGTGTGGTGCTAACCGTATACAATCCACTTGCCGTGCAAAGCGAAATGGGTCCCAAGGCAAACCTTACCTCCACTACCGAATGTCCACCACCAATGACTCATCTCTAATGCGTCTTTAAAATTCTTGAAGCTACCATTTTCATTAAGCCACCCTTAACGGTAGGAACGAATGCGGTCTCGGATATACTTCTGGATTCTGGTGGAGGCAACCGGCCCGAGCAGTGCTCGAACCCCTCCAGGGATGTGGGTATAGCTACCCAATTGGATATTCCCACGTTCCGGCATCAGACAGGTTTGAGCCCTACATAATGGTAGGTACAACTTCAAGACTTCCTAGATGTAGGCATGGAGTAAGGGAAGTTAGTCAAGCAAGGCGACATCCAGCCGTTCCTTGTTTGGAGCGCGTCGAGTGAACAAGGGTCAGAGTTCATCTCGCAACGTGTTCTAGAAGTCATGTTCGTGAAAGAGTAGTTATATTAGGTATGTCATTGCGACTCCTGATGTTTCATGACCGACGACTGCACCACAACATTCTGTTTTGCTCATGTTCAATTAGTTGGGGAGGACTTCCTGGTAGAATCTTTCATTTTAGGTGCAATAGCTGTGTTTTCATTTCTTGAGATTTCTACGTCTCTTAATATTGGCGAGGCGAATAGCTGCTCGTATACTCTGCCTTCATCGATGCTTTAGGTAGATGTTTTTGATGACATATATTCTTTGGCGCGTACTATCACACATGTCGACAATCCCCCGCCCAAAGGGATCCTAACTGGAAGCCAGGGACTTTGGTGTGATTCTGATGCCAAGCTTCTCTATCGCAGTCCAAAGACCCTGCAACTCCTGGGGAAAGAATGCGTATGGGGCGCAGCTTTGAAGATTGCGGTAAAGCCGAACAGGAACGCCGTAGCAATGTCCATAGCTACTGAGAGCATGGCTCCGAGGATCCCCAATGACTCTCTGGTTTCTGCATGTTTCGGCAATAAATCCTCAAAAGAGCGCTCCTTCTCTCTGAATGGAGCGAAATACCCTCGAATGTGAACAGGTTTGGCACCCTAGAACCCTGTTAGCGCGAAATACTCAGTACCAGTCTTGTTTAAAACGGACCCAAATTCCAAAAGCTCCTGTACCAGCTCTGCTTTTCGTAGCTGCCGTACAGTCTTGATTCCACTTCTACGATATTAATACTCAATTATTTTAGTCTGAGACGCTCGATTAGATCGCACCGATCGTGCACCCTTCAGACTTATTCATTCTACATTTTTAGATATCATGTCCATAGAATCTAGGTAGGCAGAATATCGACTGACCAGTGCACTTTTAGTATCTTTGCGAGCGGAGATCTCGACCTACAGATGTACACATAAGTGCTGTATCCAATAATGGATACTGAAACCATAAAGATTAAATTTGCCACTGCGGTTACAGCAATCGAGGCCTCTCCCTGACGTAAACGATTATAGAATGCAGTAGGTTGAGTGGGGATTTTGTAACAGAACGGATTTGAACTACCTAAAGCATAAATAGATGGGTACAGAGAGGGCTAAAGGCAGTTGTTTCGGAGATTCACAAGCCTTCCTAACTCAAAGCTAACCTGGGAGACTGGGGCGCTAGTTCGTTCGTACGAAATTAGGAAGGGAGAGTTTGATCCCGAAAATCCCTCCAACATCCTTCAAATGACGACGTAGTTTCCAGACCTTCACGGCAACATGGAACTCATTGCGTAGGGATATAAATATGTTCCTACCCCTCACAGTCAAACTCTGTTCCACAAGGGTGACACAGTATCTGTTTCGGGACAACAACGCAGTGGTATTCTAATTGTCCTTAGGTCTACTACAGCCAGTTCCAGCCCACAGGTTGAAATTTGCTAACGTAGATTGACGAAAATCCACTTCTGCGGTCAGTACTACCGTGGCGTATTGGAATGTTACAGCAAGTAGAATTCATTTCTCTCGATGCGTCCGAAATCGGCTCACTTGCATCCTGCACCCCTCGTGATCGTTTGTACATCCGATCACAGCCATGCACTCGTGCTGCACCTGCACGACTTTGCAGATCCGTTACCGCACAGCAAATTGCTCATCCCGGCCAGCCCTCACCAATTGTCATCCACCACTGCGCAACCCCTCCACTCGCTAGGGTCGATATCCCGTTCTCGATCGCAGCTCCAGCACATTTCGTGATGTCGATTTGCTCGTTCCCACCTCTCCGCGGAGATGCGGGTAATTGCGGAATTTCGGCCAAGGCCAGGTCAGCCACAGAAAGCCGGTATCCGATGGTGGCGTTGTGATAATCTAAGTCGTTGGTTAACAAGTGGATGGCATTTGGAATGACAGATTACGCCTATACTTATTATTATGTACAGTCGCCTACCAAAAGTCATTGGCCACTTTAGCGAGAGGTCTGGGCCACCCTACAATAGTCAGATTTTAATTAAATGTAACTTAATTAAATTACCACCTTTTTTAATAGTTACAAAAGCAAATAAAACTTTTTATAAAAAGCTATCTAAATTATCTATTAATATAATATAGCAATTCTACCTTTATAGCGTAAGCGCTAGCAAAATCTTATGTTATCTTAGCATTCCTAAGTTAACAGTTACATACAACATCCGCTAGCTGCGCAAGCAGCCCCTGCCTACCTATATAAAAGCTTTGTGTACAGGCTAACCTCTAAAGCTTAATAAACGCGCTAAGAGGCATTTAATTTACTAGGTAGTAAATAATCCCTTTACTACACTCTAAACTATTACAACACTATTAAAGACCTACTGCTGCATTTATACTAGTACTATAAAAAGATACCTTGTAAAATATAAGTACTACACCTTCTACTTACATTGCAAGCCTTAGTTGTTAGCTGTATATAAAGAAAAGTAACTTTAATTTGCTTAAACCTATTAATATAATAAGGTAAAAGACATAGCTTATGTAGCCTTTTATAATAAAGCAACATTTAAAGTTAGATTAAACACTACACCTTTATATGTACATTAGCAGCATAGAAAAGCATATAAGAGTTAGTACCTAAAGCTTACCTTTAAGTCTAGAAGGACTACAGTCTTTATATTTAGTGTAATCTCTCTTAATTTTAAATTAGAGCTGTTTATTAATAAAAAAAGTAAGCACAATAATGCTAGCAAATACTGCTAGATTCTATATAATGTTAGTATCCTATTTTATTAGCAGCTTACAGAGGAACGCGGTATTAGCATATAGATGCAGGATAGAGCACCTATTTACACTGTAAAGGCTACCTAAAAGTATATAGATAACTATAGCATAATATAGATAAATTAGCCTCTATAAAGTCTTAATTTAAACCTAATTAAGAACCTTTAGCAGATTATAAAGCTCTTGTTGAATGGACTCTCTGCTAGCTAGCACTTGGTGTCAGCAAATGCGTACAAGACGGAGAGGTTTGCACAGTGTAAACATCGCACAGGGGTGTTAGGTAACTAGTGTTAATTGCTTCTTATTATTTTTCCTTTGTACAGAGAAAAAGGGGGATATCTAGATGTTTGCGCACAGAGGTTCGCGCACAAGCATTATGTAACATAGATACGTGATCCTGCTTGTGCGTGATCGCTTGTATCTAGGCCGCAACGCTGCTGCTGCGTACAGACACTAGCAACTTTTCTTTTTATCTAAAGAGTTGCCTTCTGTACGTGTTACCTCTTTTTTGTCTGTGTAAGTCTATCTAATTATGTTCTGCCTTTACTTTACTTTATTTATTAGGACTTGCCTTAGTAATGCTGTGCGTTAGAATAGGCTAGTTGCACTATGTAAATAGCTCTTTTTTTCTTTATCCTTTGCTTTCTAAGCTTTACTGTATAATCCCCTAGCTCTTTTTTTTTTTATACAGTGCTAACAGTAATAGATCCTTATAATAAGAAAGATAAGTATGTATAATATAAAAAAAAAAAACAAAGAGAAATAGGCCTTATATAAAGGTGTTATTAGTCTAGTTAGTCTAAAGCATCTTTGCGCACAGGATCTAGCTAGTCCACAGATGCTTCTATCTAGATAAAGAGGCAGTTAGTTAGGACTAATAATTAAAGAGCCTAGTTTAGTGTTTTCTTTATACATGCATCTACTAAGTTATCTTTACTATTAATCTACCTAATTTTAGCAATTTCCCTTTTCTTATATAATTTATAGAGTAACATAATGTTAATTATAAGTTACTTTTTACTAGTAGTGCTTAGCTTAATAAAGTAATTATATAGAAACCTTAAATCTATGTAGATTACTACTAAGATTAGTAGTAGTTTAAGTGTTTATATAATTTACTATAAAGTTATACTAAAGGTAATTACATTATTAAACCTTCTAACTATTCTATATAGTTTACTAGTAAGGACACTCCTAGTTACTCTTTTACACTTAGTAGAATTCTAGTGTATAATGTTGCCTAGTATTTTAAAGTAGTTACTTTACTTTATATAGTTCTTATTATTTAATATAATTAAGAATTCTAGCTATAAGCTAAAGTCTCTATTATTAGTAAATAATTTATTTATAAAAATAAACAGCTTTACATAATTAAGCTATAATAGTAGAAAGGTAAGACTGCGCTTACTGTTATCTATCTGCTATTAGATTTATGCATTAAGTGTATTAATGTTATTATACAAAAGGTTTATAGTTTATGCAGTAATAGACAGGTTAAATGCTGCCTCTAGTTAACACATAGATATAATGTATGCTTCTTTTGCATGTTACTTAACTGTCACAGTATCCTCCCTAGATCCTAGACATAACTGTATTAGACGCGTACTAGAGTATTATTAGTGCACGTCTAACATAAACACAACATAACATAGACATAAACTTAAGCATAAACTGCCTTAACACTAACTAAACCTAGAACAGGCTTAATTTATACCTAAAGCGCTTAGACTTCTAAGCTAAGTATTTAATTGCTAATTTCCTTCTAAACCTTCCTATTCCTTACACAACATCTTGTACCTACTATAATACCTTACGTAGTAATTAAACTAGACCTCTGTGAAGCTTTATAACCTTACTTATGCATAATTATAACATTAACATATTATTATGCAGCATCCTTATCTTCTAAGTTAATTATATAAAGGTGGCTTACTTGTCTCTTCTAAGTAAGGACTACTATGTTGTGCGTAAGTTTAATTCTTTTGCTGTTAAACTTAATAGGCTACTTCTCTACTAGAATAGTTTTACTCTTTATGTAGAACTTTGCCTTTTATAGTTTCTTCTTTTCTTTTTGCGCAAAATTCTTTGTTATAATGCTTAAAGTGTTGTCTATTTATAAGCTAGTAATACTAAAAGTATGCTCTTCTTTATTAGTAATTAAAAGGTAAGAGTTGTATAAAGAGATGTGCATGCATAGCTTTTCTTTATAGTAGTTATAATATGTCTTAAACTAATATAGTCCTAATTTAGCAGCTTTATACAAGAGTTGTACAACCTAGAGTATTGTATTTAGTAGAAAGCTCTAGCGCATCTCCTTTAGTAGCTTTGTGTATAGCGTGCGTATAAGCTTATTTGTTAATTAAATGTATACTTATATAATATTACACAGTTTAAAATGTATTTTATATATAGCTTTTAGGCTTACTTTTATAGCTAAGAGTAGTCTCTAGCTTATTCTCTAGATAGTTAGTAACTAAGTAAAAATTTCTTTTTTTTCTTTATCTAAGTAGCTAGCAAACACTAGGCAGGATTTCTTATATAGTTAAGTTGTTTTGCCTTTTACTTTTTATATAAGGCAGAGGTTAAAAATCTAACCTTTATGCTTTATTAAGTTATACACTATAACCTTAAAAGTGCTATTAGTAATTAAAGTGTCTATCTTTATGTAGTCTAATTTCTTAAATAGTTTTCTAGGTGTAGTAATTACATTATCTATATAAAGCTTAATAGATAAGGCCTAATTATTTTTTTTTTTTTAGGTTAGAAATACCTAGTTTAGACTTTATGCAGGTTTTCTTTACCTTTTACTTCTTCTAGTATCTATATCTTCCCTTTGCACTAGTGCAGCATTGCTATTCTAAGGGGCTTAGTCTGTAGTAGGCTCTAGTTTTGCCTTTATAACATTTTTATAAAGCTGTTTTCTCTTTCTCTTCTTTAAAGGATCCTTTTATATAGAGATTAGTTTATTTAGGTTATTTATTATAGGTAAGTTATCTTTTTTTTTTTTTCTATAGTACAGTTTAACTTGCGTATATTAAAGCTTTAGTAGGCTATTTTTTTTTTTAATAATAATATTTTTTTTTTAATACTTTTAATCTTATATAAGCTAGTCTAGCCTTTTTTCTCTCTCTATGCTATAATCTTTAAGCTAAGGGGGAGGTTAAGAACTTTATATATTATAAAGCTATTATAAGTGTTAATTATATAATTAATGTTTACTTTTATATAGTTCTTTTTAAAGTATTTTTATTACTTTTTATATAGCGCTTACTTGTGTAATAATGTTTAGTAATAGTAAAAAGTTTAGGTTAATTCTTAGGTATGCTCTAAAGACTAGCAGCATAGGTACTAGACTATGTAGGCTAGCTATGTTGTTTAGAGCCTTAACTACTATCTACAGAATAGCCTTATTATCTATATAGTCACCTAGCTTAGTCTTTAGGATGTTAAACACTTGTTAGAGAGGTGTGTGCGCGCGCTTAACCTTTTTAACTACCTAATATGCTTCTATAGGCATCTGCCTATATGTAGCTCTTATAATCTTTGCATAGGCCTAAAAATTCTTTAAAGCAAAGTTTATACTAGAGTTATACATAATATAGTCTAGGGGTCTTTAATAGGTGTTAATCTAGCATTTGCATAGTGCATCCTAGGTATCTTATGTAGACATAGATTTTAGAAATGTAGTAGCCTAAAATAATATGTCTACATTAATAACATGTAAAATATTCTTATTATTAATTTATATAATATTAATAATAACTTTATAGTTAAAGTAGGTGTTATTTTTAATTATAAACTTAAATTTTTATAAGGCCTAGTTATATAATTAGTAAAAGTAGCAGAACTTCTTAATCTTTTCTAGCACTGTAGCATTAATGTTATAGCTAGCGCTAGTTAGCATCTTCTAGCGTCTTTTTATGCAGGGGTGTCTAAATTAGCAGTAGAGGCAGTAGAGTTTTAATTTAGTAAAAAAAAACATAAATTCTTTCTTACTAATATTAAAAAAAAAGTGTTCTTATTTTTATATAATAAGTATAGTAGTTTTGTCTTTATGTATAATAATATTTAAAATATTATTAAAGTACGCACCTATTTAGTCTACGTCTGCTAGAGATAGTAGGAACAGTGTTAGAGTCTCTAGAATGTAATATGTTACATTACTAACTAAGTTAGTAATTTATATAGTACTAATTAATTCTATTAATTTTTATTTTTTAAAGCTAATACTCTTCTTCTTTAGTGTTTAGTCTACTTTTATATAAAAGAATTTTTATAGGTATGCTTTAAGTTATAACTTCTTTACAGTAGAGATTCTTACTACACTAGTATCCTATAGTTCACCTTAGTATACTATATAGTATTAATCTCTAAAGATAAACTGTTCTGCGTATTCTTTAGGTTCTAGGCTGTAGATGTCCTCTGCAGTTACATAGTAAAGAAATATAGCATTAGTAAAGTAGTTAATAATCTTTTTACTTTTCTTTTTATCTAAGTTATTATTATTATGTAACTTTTTTTTTTCTACTTTTGTTTACTTTTAAACTTTTAAATGTACACATTTACTTTCTTATATGTTAGTGTCTTGTTATAGAATTTTTTATATAAAGAGATATATTAGCGTTTTGTATAAAATTAATTTATATAAAAATAATTTATTAACTAACATTTTTTTTTATAATAAATAAAGCATTACTTTAATTATATAGAGAACTATAGTCTAAATAATTCTTTATATCCTCTTAAGCTTTTTCTATGTTGTTAATAGCTATATATATGTAGTAAGCTATATTACTTATTAGTGTAGTATATGTTTTAGAATTTATTTATAAATGCATTATTTTATTAATTAATTATAACCTAAAGTGCTAAATAAAGGTTACTGTACAGTGCCTTATATGTAGGCTTAATTAAGAACATTACTTGTTTAAGTTTAAGTTGCTTTTAGCATACTTATATAATAGTAGTGTAAAGTAGTATCTTACTTTAGAATTATAAACTAAAAGCTTTTTATATAAAAGTAAGTTTATTAATTATAGCTTTAAAAGCTTTATATAAAGTTTTTATAAAGTTTTTTTACTTACTTTATGTAAAGCTTATTATTATCTAATCTATCTAATACTAGTTATAGTTTATGTTAGTATTAAAGTAATTACTAAGCTGCTTGTACAGTAACTTTTATAATTATTCTAGACTAATATTATAAAAGTAGAACATGTGTGCGCGCCTTTTAAAAATATTAGAAAAGATGCTTGTATATAATGCCTTAAAGATAGTAAGGTGTTAGTAGAGCTTAATAAATACTATAGCCTTATTAGCTAGAATATTATATAGTTACTTTATATAGTTATTTTTCTTTCTTTATGCCTTCTAGAATTATACAACCTTCTTAGGCATAAAGTTCTCTGCTGTAATATCTTATATAAGTAGAAGTTAGTATAGATTATACAGTAATTAAATTATATATAGTAGGTATAAGCTTTAGGGAATCTTATGTAGAGCTGTGGCTATAGGAACATGTAGCTGCCTAGTTGTGCTCTTGTATAGTAAGCTATTATAAAGTAGTTGTACTAATTATAAAGAAAGTATTAAGTCTATAAGTAATTTATATAGAGACATCCTCTATTATGTTAAAACTAGTAATAGTAGTAATAGTTTTATATAATGCTTTAGTAAAATAGTAAACATATATTCTTCTTTTATAAGTCTGTATAGTGTAGTAGCCTTTATTATGTCCTTTTTAAAGCTAATGCCTTTATTCTATAAAGTAGTAATTAGTTTTTATAAAAATAGTTAGCTAAAATTTTTAAAGTGTATAAGCTTTTACTTTATAAAGTTATTTTAAAAGTTCTTAAGTGTACATATGTTTATTATGCTTAATGTGTAGAGTTTTATAATTAAGTTAGCTATATATAAATTAAGCTTCTTTTTAAGTGTGTTATTTAATAGTTTAATTTTATTTACTTAATTTTTAATGTTTATCTGCTCTACTAGGGTCTTTGCTAAGATGCCTATAAAAGGTATATATTAGTTATACATTAATACATTATGCTAGCTAGTTATAGATAGAGCTAGTGTTACTTATTACTTTATAGTAGTTAGTTATGTGTTATTGCGCGCTGTCTTACTTCTTGTTGTACACTGCCTCTAAACAGCCTTATGCAAAAAAATAAAACAGACCTTCTAGCGTTAAATAAGCACTACTATTTATATAATACCTTTAAATAGTATTATATAGACAGGTTTCTTACTTTTGCTTAAGTAACTAAATAAAGATTTATAGCTACTTACATATAAATTAGACTTTATCTTTACTCTTACTAATTTATAGTTAAAGTAGTAAGAAAAAAAAATCTTTTTATATATAAACTTTTAAATAAAAAAGTATAAAAAAAGCTTTTTTTTTATAGTATTTAAACTACTAATTAGTGTTAAATAGACTCTTTGCTAGCTAGCACTTAGTATTAGTAAATGCGTACAAGACAGAGAGGTTTACACAGTGTAAACATCGCACAGGGGTGTTAGGTAACTAGTGTTAATTGCTTCTTATTATTTTTCCTCTATACAGAGGAAAAGGGGGATATCTAGATGTTCGCGCACGGAGGTTCGCGCACGAGCATCATGTGACATAGATACGTGATCCTGCTCGTGCGTGATCGCTCGTATCCAGGCCGCGACGCTGCTGCTGCGTACGGACAGCTCTACATTTTAAAGTAATAAGAATATATTACTACTTATAAGCAGATAGTAGATATTCTTAAAAAGAAGTAAGCAAAAATTACACTAGCTAATTATAGGAAGTGTATCCTTAGTTAGTTAAAGCGTATAAAGGAAGTTATCTAAAACAAAGGCAGATTAACTTACTATTAACTAAGCATAGCACTAAAAGACAGGCCTGTATATAAGCTTTATATAGAAATAAAAATCTTTAAATTTAGTTAATAATTAACTAAGTAACCTCCTTCCCTAATAGGTTGACTATACCCCTGCAGAGCTCGGATTGCTAGGTGGCTAATGACTTTTAGTAGGCGACTGTACCTATAACTTGAAATGAGCGGTGCCTGAGTATCTATCGTTGCGCCTTAATTGGGTCTACATGTTTGTGTGTTCTCGGTGGAGATCATTCAAGCCCAAGAGGTTGTTTTCGTGGGGTTCCGTAATTATATGGCTTGTTAATTGATGCATCAATACGGATTACTTTGCAGGTGAGTGAGAGAGGCTCGGAGGTTAACGGATAGCCCGGGGCGGCTATCAGTGAGAATGTCCGTAGTATTGTTATCATTCCTGCGGTTATTTTCTTTCCTCTTGATTTGCCTAACCTAGGGTTCATATCGCTTCTGAGTGGAGATGAGCGCATACATTCCCACTCAAACACCCCAGCATGTTTTCGTTGTTTCGCGGCGAATGAGTCAGGTTCGGCAGGCGACTCTATCCGGCCCTCTTCCCCTCATCATCTCCAATTAATGCAGGCCTATTTTCCCCATGGCACCGTTAGTTGATCTTAGATTTGCTTTAATTTTGTTAGTCCCCCGTTGGTAGCCTACCACAGTAGCACCTGTATGGAATAGAGCTGATAGGGACGAGAACCAGGATCGGTGGAATATCCCTGCATATCCCTGCATCATGTCTGACCTTTCTAGAAAAACAGGATGCATGAAAGTCAATATGACATACAAGCGGCTCGCTTGCGAACTACCTGGACAGGAAGCTCCTGCCACGCTGCTTGATAGTTTGAACTTCGCGCGCAAAATGAGCAAAATGTAGATCGGACGAGTGTGAATGCCCGACAACAGGTAGAGCTTTCAAGATTCCCGTATAAGTCTTTTTTACATTTTCTGTCCATAGCTTTCGATAGATGACCCCGGTCTCGCGCAGATTGGGAAGCTTGGAATTTCAGATATAGATACTAATCTATGAATTACGCTCACGTATTCAGCGGTGCAAAGTCTTGCTGTGTAAGTCTATGCCACCTCAAAATTCAGAAGCTTCATCTTAATGCTGAATGATATAGTTCCTCCGAGCTCCGCGGATACTATTCAGACATATCTTAGCGTACCATCTCAGGCCATGCATTCATCAGCCAAACACCGTGTCTCTGCGAACGATATCCGGAGACTATGATGCACTCTCATCTCCATGTGTCTGATGATTTAACCCCCCCGAAGAGCTACGAATAGGGCTTCTAACTCGGTTTTCGCTGAAGATCTGCGAAAGGACGAAAAGGGTGTTGGCTGCTCAATGGATGACTCTGAGTTTGGCCGATCTCGATATGGAGACGTTGGATAGATTGATCGAGGTCAAGGCAACAGTGGAAAAGAATTGTTTATTTTTCTGGTCTGCAGTTCCTGTTTTCGGATGTAGCAGTGATATGCCTTCAGCGTTCGCTCGGATTAATATTTGTATAGCTGGTAGGTAGTCCTGGGCGTTCGTGGTGGAAGGAGATTGAGATGTGGAGGGGAAAAATGTTCTAGCGAGAACCTTTTGCGATCGAAAGAAGAAAGATTTCAAATTCCAAGGAGCTTGTTAAGACCAATCTCTGAAGGGCGACTCCACAAGCCTAAAGTTTGCATAATATTCTCAACCTATCATCAATTCTCCACCCACCTAGCCCGCAAACTTCACCCAGGGCTTCCAACGGGCCGTACTACGGTCCGTACAAAGTGAGCCGTAATGGTCACGTGTTCAGCACGAACGTACCGAGTTTGTAAGCCGCACTGTACTTGTAATGATACGCTAGGTACAGTAAGTAGTATAGATTGTATTACCTTTTTACAGAGTTTGTATGGAGATTTTAGAGAAGTAGGAGGGCTCTGGCGAGCAGAAGGCCTGTAGGGAGCGCCGAGGAGTTTTCTAAGGCCCTAGTTAGCTAAAAATTTTGCAGATTTAGCGACCCTAGAGGACTAGGGCAAGGTAATCTGCTTCTAGATTAGTGTTATCAGCAAAGCTCTTAAGGCGCTGCAAAAGTGGTAGATAGCTATAACTATATTTTTTAGCACCTACTAAGAGAGCACAAGGTTAAATTTACCCTTAATTTTCTTTCTATTACAGCTACTAGTTGTAAGTGCAAGAGGAGTTTTAGCGCAGCTAGTAATACATTAACTAATAGTTAAGGCTATTTAACTCTGGAGGAACCAGCTATAGCAGAATTTAGTAAGCAGTAAGATTTTAGACCTTCTACTTTTATTACTAGAAAGAATGAGTCATCTAATAACTAATTAGGCCCTAATGCTGCGTCTCTAGATACCTATAATTTTAGCTGTTTTAACTAGAGTATAGTGTACTTTAATTAAATTGTACTACTTGTACAGATTGCGTGAGCTGTAACAGTTACAAGATGGACACCTACCTCTCCTCCTCACTGTTGTACAAACGTACACAAAATCTCACCCGTACAGGCCTCGAAATCGCTCAATGGTACAGTACTACACCTCGTTGGAAGCGCTGACTTCACTCCCCTCTCTCGAAAACCTCAAACCCTTTTCAAAGGCCCCAATGCCTGCCTATCACTCCCCTTTGCACACTCTAGGTTTCTCTTAGCACCCAACATTCCTTCGTCCTGTATATGCGCATTAAATAGGTTTTAGTAGATGCTGTTCCACAGACCCTGCATTTCTCCTACCCTCTATCGCAAGGTGGGCCGAGATGGAGCTAGAGGGTATGGAGTAGTTAATTAGGTGGTGAGAACCAAACTAAGTAGATTGGGCTGAGGTGTAAGAGCGAGAGAGAGCTCAGAGGTAAATATATAGTAGCTAAAAGAGCGCTAGTCCTAAACAGGAAAATGGTGCGAGGTAAAGGACCCACATTCACCCTGAGCAGGGTCACGTGAACCAGTTTCACGTGCGACACCATCTTCTACCGCAACAACCCACTCCAGAATATCAACGATCTGTAAAGAATCATGGAAGACAGTAGACGCAGCGCTCCAGAAGTCTGCGCTGTGATTCCTTGAGTAATATTTACTTCATGCGGAATGAGTTATAAAGTTTTATTTCCATGCATTGGGGGCTCTTAGCAGCGTTTTCGGAAAGAAATTGTGGATGCTACGACGTGTCGCATTCCTGATACGGAAACCTTCCTTCCCTGAACCACAAAGGCTCCTACGGCCTTTACTATAGCACCTTCTGCCTTCACTGTGGCACCTACTGCCTTTACTATAGCCCCTTGGCCATTGCCATGACCCTTACTGCCCCTGCCGTCATAAATAAATACTCTGCAGCAGGGCACTTAGACACTTGACAATATACTTCACTTCATTAGCTTCTACCATAGCTGCATGCTCACGCAACCTCTATTTGCAACATGACGCGCCAAGTGTGGCCTTCAGCGTTCACACGTCCGCTGTCGGTGGATCCAATAATGTATCCTAAGTAATGATTTGGGTTCTGAAGAGAATCTCGATCTAATCTGCCTTTGTGTAGCGATTCTGGGAGGCGTAAATGAATTTAATGAGCGATTCAGCGAGAAGTTTGCAAATGTCATAGCGGAAAAGAGGAAGGACAAATGTCTCAAGTGATCCCAGGTGTAGCTGCATGCTCCTCGCCGTACTGCCATCAAGATCGCTTGGAGCCAACTTTCGGTTGTCATGATCTCTAGATTACGTCCTCCACAGACAGGTAGCATCGTTGATGGACGAGATTCCTTTCTCATACAATTGAGAGAGTGACAGTGGATTTGACATTATCTGCTTCGAAGGCTTCATATGCCATGGTCTAATTTACGGCTTCAATGCAAGTTTCCACCTCGGAGCTATCCCCACTCGAATGACCCCAATGTTTTTACGTAAGGGAGAACCCTAGATAGCTGAGGTTTCCAAGCCAGATTTCGATGTGTTTGAGCTGCTCGATGGTTAAAGTCAGCCTTCCCCGTCTAAGATACGCAAGAACTCGTTGAAGCCCGTCAGCAAGCCAGGAGGCACGAACTGACTCGGAAACTCTGCACATTTAAGCGACTGGAGTAGAGACACTAATATTCGTGTACTAAGATAGCACGTTTCAGCTGTAAAAAGGACATTGGGATATCATATAGGGGCAGGGTTGAGATAATAAATATCAACAGGAATTTGGACCCTGCTTAACAATCTGGTGAAACTTTCCGCTAGCTCAGGTTTCTCTGCTTTAACTGGTGCTGAAGATACATCATCGTCAAACCGAACACGAATCTGTGGGACAAGGCTCTGGGGGGAATTCATGCCAAGCGTTGCGGTGTCCATGTTGACATTATACGCCTTCTTGAGGATCTTAGAAAGCCCGATAAGGTTGATTGAATCCAGTCCGAGATCCAAGGCCGTTGCTTTAGATAAGCTCTCGACACCGGGGTGATAAACTGGGTGAGGTACAGGTTTCGTCGGTGGGCTTGTCGAGATGAGCGGGATACATGTTGGACGAATGATGCACCTTTGCTGGTTTCGCCTTCTACACATTCTGCAATGGATTTTCTGTCGTTTTTGCCGCACGAGGCCATGTTTATGGCTTCTCTAAATATCCATTGCCGTGGAGTCATGTAACTATGTAAATAATTCTGCAAGTGCATAATAAAGTTTCTTTCGAGACAGTCAAATCCATAAGTGTACTGTAGCCCAATTGTCTCCAGGTCCACTGGTTGCGGGACAAATTACGGCAGCGAGTTTCTATTTATTCTTGCCGCATCGCGGGTACCGAACAACGGAGTGTAGGACTGAAAGGTGCTTCACGATATGGAGCTCAATCTCGCCCATCTCAATAAGGAGGCCGCGAATCTTCACCATGATATCTCGTCAAATTATAGCAACCTTCAGCAGTCATCTCAGTGATATCGTCTGTCCTATAGATTTGATAGTCCGAATTCTTGAACGTAGAATCTAGGAACGATGCATTTGTCCGCTCCTTGTCATTCAAGTATCCGCTCGCTAAGACAAGGCTAATCGCAACGAGCTCACCAGACCCTATTTCCATAGTCGACTAGGGTTTCTGGATCCACAATTCGAGCAATCCTCCATGGCTCTCCGATATCTCTCGGATCACTCGAAGGTGTCAATGCGCAAGGAAGCAAGTCAGCAACTCCGTAAGCCCTGACCTTAGCTGACCGAGTCCCAATGATCTCGTAGGTGACCGGCTCGCTAGCTAAGAATATTTTGAAGCCGGAGCAAAAGGTCAACCTTTTGGTCGTGGCAATTGCACTGCTTATAAATACAGTCTGCATACCTGGGATTTCGCTAGGGTGGAGTGTACTTATGAGAGTCGGCGTAAAGAAGGCCCAGTTGGCGCGAAGAGTCTTCACGAATTCGTCAATTTGATGGGTCCGGGGATGACAGGATGGTATGCACACAGTCCCTTCGAGATTGAGGGTAGCGAAGGTGCCGTAGATACTCATGTCAAATGTATATGCGGCATACTGATAAGCAGGACTATTTACTCCAATTTGCAATGATTTGCCACGGTATCTTAGGCAGGAACAAATTGCAGTATAGATCAGAAGAACAGCTTTAGGTGCACTAGTGCTTCCCGATATGAAAGAATAAAGGCAGGATCACTCAGTAGGCTTTGGAATGGAGGAACAAATGCTTTTGAATATGGTTGTTGATTTGGTGGCGCAGAAAATAGCGCTTGATTGGCTAAAATTGTGGTGAGAGCTGGGGATTTCCTAAGCAGCTCGTTGGAAATTTCTATGAGGACTGTGGAGGGGGAGGCCGCTTCTAAGATGGATTTTTATTCGCGAGGATAGATGGCTAGAATCCAATGGCACACAACTCCCTCCAACGTTCAAAATTCCCAGAGCCGAGAGGACAGCCCATACCGATTTCTAGAAGCAGAACCCTAAATTCTCACTTTTTCGACGCTAATTTGGAGTAAAGTCCGAGTTAGTGTCTAATACTGCTCGATTTTGCGGTAGCTCATGCATTCCAATTCTGATACCAGAGTCTCTGCCTTTGGGCTCCTCCTTCGACACTGGGTAGAGATAAGATCGTAAGTGTAGTGTTCTACTGATGGAAGTAGTGGCTAGATGTAGGTTAAGCCCAGAGGTCTCAAGCCAAAGCGGTGACACATTGGATGCTTTCCAGTCCTGCACATATAGGAAGATCTCTAATTCGCTGAACTGATTGAGGTAAGGTGTCGTGGCCACGTGATCTGTGGATATAGTTCGCAAATCCGGATGAACGATAACGATATGATAGAGGAATTGGTTGGTGTCTAGAAATGTAGAGACCGCTCTTGTTTACTAAATGAGCAACTTTTGGGGGTCTCTAGGAGGGACTAAAGCAGGCGAAGTTTCGGTACTGCACTCCACGACCTGAAGGGGATTCAGGGTCGAGACCAATCGTGTTCCTTTAAATATCCTTGCACTTTAGGCCTAGGGTTTGCAGTAGTCACGTATGGCTCTCACGATAGTCGCATGCATGTCACGATAAGTCTCGTATTACCAAGACTTACCCCTTTTTTTGCACATATATAGACCTCCAAGTGCACTCATCTCGTAATCAATCTAGTTCCTCATGCCCCCAGTGCTCCCCCTAGCTTCACGCCCAGCCCCAACCATTTCCATAACAGGGGGCCCGAGCCTCCAAGGGAATTACTATCTAAAATGTCCCCTATCTGAAAGGCGGTGGAACGAGCGAAATATTAGCTCGAACTGAGAGGAACCGGTGGTGTTGGGGCACGAGCCTAGATTATTTTCGATATCATTGCAGTAGCCGTTACGAGAAAGGAAGTTGTGAAATTGTTACATTTGCGCTTCTCCTCAATCGGCGTAGACCCAAAAGGCTTGCGCATATGGAGAAGCCTACCCGACGTGCCTTGTCATATGTGATATAGTGTGGTTCTCGTCAAATGTTCGGATTACAGTGTGGCTTGTCCACGATAATATGGGTGGGTGCATATTTTTGCAAACGGAGGTGGTCTGGCTCCGGAAAGTGAGAATAACGTGAGTATTGATTAAAGTGCAGAGCCGTCCTCTATTACCCAAAATCAAGTATATAGGAGGCTCGAAAAGGGAATTCTTGGCCAATGACAACTTCCTACAACACTATCGTAACGATGAGGACCATCTTGCTGCTGGTGGCAGGTATCTTCCCCAATGTTGGGGGCGTGACAGCAGCCCGAATGAGAAGGTACTATTGGCTGAAGGAAAATCAGGGTATGGTAAGTCCGCCCAATTTCAACTGATAACCCGACCTATGGTAAGTCAAGGTATTCAGCAGGGACATTCGGAAATCAACACTTTTGAGCACCTCCCTCACGTGAAATGCCTCACTCAGGCCAATGAACTCTTCAACTCGTGATTATCGAAGTTCTGTTTGATACTACGGAGAGCTGCAAACCGGAGCACGCTTCGGGCCTCGGGCTGTGCGATCCGCATCGGCTCGACATTTACTAAGTCGAGGATTCAACACAAATGCTGGCCTTAATCCCGACACGGACTGGGCGAAAATCGTGGACTGTGGATCTATCCCAGTCTCACCACCCCGCCATAGTCTTGCACTCCAGCAAATGACGGAGGGCCTTGGAGAGCTAGGCTTCCATCCGTCATCCTCTAGAAATCTAGAGCCATTAAAGTTTATGATAATTGGGGGGATCACTCCATCGCCCTTCCAGCTTTTCGAGCCCTTAATAAAGTTCCCCACCACCTAATGGCCGTGGAACACTTTGAAGCCCACCTGGACACGCTCCACCCTCATTCTTACCCGAGTAAGTGGAGTTCGGAGCAAACTGAATTCACCCGTGCCTCCATGTTCCGGCATGTATCCTCGGCTGGCTTGGCCAAGAACGAGTCTCCCATTCACGTTGGCTTGCGTACTCGCTTACCTGATACCGATTTTAGCGATTGCAAAAATGATGAATGGCAAGGATATAAGCGCCTCACAACGGACAATATCGATGACATTGGGACCCAAGGTATCACCGACGCGAGTATAGGACGCGTATGTTTAAAAACTCCGGCATACCTGTCTATTTACATTGATATACTGGATACTGCAGTGACCCCGAGTATAGGAGCCCCAGAGGCCGGCTGCTGGACTATGAGAGAAACGACCAGAATCTCGCGAGGACTTCGGGATGTCAACGTCGTTAGCGCAGATATCATAGAGGTTTCCTAACATTTGGTGATAGGGGAGAGACGATGGGTTATACTACGGCGCCAATAGCATGCGAGATTCCTACGAGTTAGGCTGTACTTGCAAAGAAGCATCAAAAGAGGTAGTAGCTGAAAAGAGTGGATTATAAGTAGATCTTCGTATATCGGTGATTGCTTGAGTCATAGTAAGGCAAATGTTTTCGGAGAATGAAGTATCTAGGCCAGGTCGAGCGTGGGGAAAAAGTACATGGAAGAGTAGCCAATATATGGGCGACCGCAAGAGATGTCGATAAGGAGCACCCCAGTTATTAGGGAAATGAAGTAATTATAAGGGGTGAATAGCGTAAAGTAGTTTGAATGACCGTAGAAGTGGGACACGATAGCGCATACTCCTAAGGATTGTCCATGGGATCCCAACATATTATAGAATGGTGGTTAAGATATTTGAGTGAAATAGCTATATTAACTTACTAGTTGCTAGACCTTCGTCTAAACTATCTAGGATAGCCATTTCTGCATCGGAGATCATGGAACAGGCAATTTGCGCGTTCTCAACCATGCAGAACTTTTTCGTAGTCCTCAAGAGCGGAATGTATTCATGCTAGATGTTCGTTCCATCGAAGGAGGATTCGGCTCTGTGTGTAGGAGGACTCTATCGCCGGCGAAATGACAGGGGAGTGATCCTTGTGGACACCGTGTAAGAGTGGACTATAGGCCTGGGTCTAAATTCCTCGCCCTGGACAGAAGCTGACAATCTTATTCCTTGCCTTGAATGGGTGAATCTCGGACTGGTTGACGGAAGACTTTATACAGATCCCTGATTGGAGTAACCCCTCGAGCTGTCTTGGTCAGCTGTAGCACTAGTGTGTAGGTGGTAGGTTTTTGTGCCTCCACCAAAATTGCTTACTCCTGCTGACTTCACCAGCCCCCTAGGATAGCATTCTCTCCAACTCTCCAACTCTCTTTTCGAGCCTCTGGTTCGCCATAGGGGTAATGCAAGAGGGACAGATCGATATAGCCCAGACTACAGATTTTTACTGGGTTACGGATGCGTTGCATCGTTTGTTGTGGCCTAAATTCTTGGCAAATTAGCTGTGTAGTAGATATCGATTCTTTGCGTTCAGCAATGCTACTTGCCTGGGAATGGCTGTCTGTAGAGAATTCATGACGGAGCTAACTCTCTCTCGCTCCGCCGATGCCGTGCTCATTCGTGTGCAGAATAGTATATATATACCGTTCGCGCGTAAGCGGTACTTACAGTCCACCCTAGCAACTACTAAGCTACCCCATAGATCACACTACGGTCTTACAAATACCTTGACTCAAATATCTACCTTAATTAAAAGGAGGCGTCTTTGCTCCATTAGAAAGTTTCATACGAGTAAGTGTATTGGAAATGTTTATCAAGGACTTTATGAGAAATTTGTAGCTGCTTCTGCTTGCTAAGCGGGGAGGAATGGGCTGACGATTGAAGATGCTAGGTCCGGCGGTAAGGAGTTAGCTTGTCCGAGTGGTATGTTGGGTGGCGGACGGAAACTACCTGTGAATAAAACTATGGTGGCCCCTTGGGCTTTGAAGGGCAATAAGTGGCCCCACTTATTTCGCATATATATAGACTCCTACCAAGGACTCCTCTAGCAATGAATTCAATCCAGTTCCTCGTGCTTCTAGTGCTTCACATAGCTCCACACCTTTCAGCTACATGAATTCCTTGGGGAAACCATTTGGTTCGACTGTTGTCTTAACCAGACATTTCCTATGCTACCAATATGTATTCTGCACCGCCAGAATGATGGCGTTCCGCTACGCAATCTCCACTACCAGGTAGCTGAGATAATGCCACTATCCAACCTTCTGGAAACATTACCTACACGACTTAGGCCTTCTTCGCCATACAGACACTCGAGCAGTTCAGGTTTGCCGGTACGTCGTTTGTGTAGCTGTATTCTCCGAAATAAGTCTTGAACTTGTTCGAAAAGCTGACTAGCATTGCCTTGGACACTAGAAATATTGAGAGCTGGAAAGCGTCGGATTGTAAGCCCAGCAATACGCAGCCTATCCTTAGAACCTAATTGGCGGTCAATCTATATAAAACTAGGTTAATAGGACAAAAGCCCCCGTCCTCGCACTTCTCCGTACAAAGAAGACACGAGATACATGCAGGGCACTGGAAAGTTCTCTCCAAGAGAAGTATTGGTATGGGAGCACCCAGGGTCAGGGAAAGGGAGCACGGAATATATCAACTCCTGAGCTATTCTTACCTGCTCTCTAGAGTGTGTAAAAGAAAAGTACACTAGGCCGCGGGCGATGATTTCAGGATGAAGTCTAAACAAATTCAAGAGTCGACGATTTCATGCCCAGCGCTATGCTATTGTGGGACCAACGTCACGCTTAGCCTATCTCGGCTTGGCCACCTGGAACTTTCTTCCTTGAAAACTCGTCCGCGACGAACGTGCATCTCTTTCACGGCAAAATAACATGCAATTTTATAAATCCTATCCCCTCCCAATTCCGCTGACGGTGACAAGTTGGCCTGCCGCAGAATGTCACGTGCTCGTGGGCGTCGACGTGTTGGCTAAACCGCGACGGGCCGTTCGGTGCATGGCTTCGATAACCTCCCGGCCCTGGCGAAATATTTTCCCCTTCCTCATTGCTAGTCCACAGTTAATGTCGGCTTCTTATGCCGCCCCAATCGCGACGAATTCGGAAGCCGCCAGCCGAGCTCACAGCACACGATATTCTGCACCATCGTCCTCTGCGCACAGTCTTCTCGTTACTGTCCAAACCTAAGCCTGCTTGGGATCATCTAGGGAGCAATAATTCTCCCCTCCACGATCCCGGGATATATCACGTCACAGCTCCAGCCTTGGCATCGATAAAGGCAAAGTTCGCATCGTCATTTCGCGAAACCGGGGCCATGACATGGAGAGAAAACTTCCCGTTCTCCTTCCAGCTCTCGGCCCACGGGTTGAGGAGCCGGCGTCACTAACGGCTCCTGAGCCTCGGAAACGGAGTGGAGTCTCGGTCGCCTGCACCAACTGCCGGCAGAAAAAGGTGAAGGTGTGTCCAAAAAAAAAGTTAGAAACTAGTACAACTGAACCCTGACGTTCAAAGTGTGACGGTCAACGAGCGCGATGCTCAGCATGTGTATCCAAGGATATTGAATGCGTATACACCGCTCAGGAGAACGAAACGCCTGTTGGCGCTCTGAAGCGCGAGAACAAAGCTCTTCGTCAGAAATCTATAGATCTCGAAGAATTATTCACTCTGTTAAGGTCCATGTCCGAAGAGCAATCATTTGCTGTCATCCGCTATATTCGATCCAGCCAAAATGAGCTGGCTGACGTCTTGCGCAACATCAAGAATGGTGACTTCAAGGCTCAAAGCACTTTATCGCCTCCACGAACCAGCACTTCCTTCCTCCCGCAGTTGCTTTCTTCGTTGGAGCTGGAGCTTGCCACATACCATCCGAATGCTTACCCGGCTTTGGAGCCACTTGATGCTGGCAGCGTGGATCTCAGCCTGATTGGTATCCCATTCCGGTTTGTATCCAAAGCAAATCTGGACTTGCGAGAAGAAATCCACCCTTCCTTGTTAGTCTCCTGCTTCTTCATGGAATCCTATCTAACATGGAGTTAGATCTCAGATTCAAATGCCTATGCATCTCCCCCGGCAAACTTCACCTTCGGCTAGTGGCGGAGGCGTTGACCCTTCAGTTTTCAGGATAAACCCTAGCTCGATCGGAGATCTATGTGATCGTCGCTTAGACAGAGTCAATTTCGCTCATTGGACCGATATTGCAGTTTCTGGTCCCTTGCTCGCTGCTGCCATATCCCAGTATCTTTTGCATGAGCATCCTCTCCTAGGCCTCTTTGATGCAGACCTTTTCATCCGGGATTTGACCACGCCGGCTACGACCTTTTGCTCAAGGCTGCTGTTTCATTCATTGATAGCATTTGCTTGTGTAAGGCCTCCACACGATGTTTCCTTTGAGGTGCTAAGTCTTGATTCTAGCACGGATATACTTTTGTAGATCCTTCGGCAGCATCTCTCGCAATCACCTTCTACGCGGAAGCCATTAGCCTATGGCATTCTGAACCAGCCCAGGACAGCATCACAACCCTAAGCGCCTCCATCATACTCTTCGCTGCTTCCAGTAATATGGGTAGGGGCATGGATGGCCTTCAAATCTTGAAAGATAGCGCCCTGATTGGATCACGTCTTGGTCTCTTCGAAAACTCAAGCGAAGAGCAGCTTAGTATTCACCGTGACAAAAGGCAAGTATATTCTTCTGATATGGATCGCGCTCGATGTACAGCTGCATGGGGGACATTTAACTGGCACACGTGAGATTTCTAAATTTCCTTCCAGTCCCAGGCTGATTTCATAGTTTTCATGCTTTCTATGATCGCCAGGGGCCTTTGATCAACTCGCCACCATCTGTCCAAATACCCCACTTCCAGGTAAATGTGCCATACATAAGTGAAACCTTTCCGACCCTCTGTAGGTTATGCATAATCTTAAATGATATGGCTTGGCAATACTACTCGCAGCGGACACCGCCCACGGAGACTGTGCCACGGGAGGCGGCAGAGATACTCTACCAAAGACTATTATCGTGGTCCGATGATCTCCCTGGGTCATTAATCCGTGGTCCAGGTACCAGCCACCACGTGGTGGTGGCACAGTAAGTCCTCTTCCTTCTTGTGAAGTCCACCTCTAGCTAACTAAGTCAGCATTTGGTATCACACTATCATCATCGACACATTCCGACCATTTTCCTCTGAACCCCAATCAAAACCAGTTGTAGTTACTGCGGCATCTATCAAGCAGCTCAAGCGGCTTATCTACATCTACCGGAGCACGTTTGTTTCCTCGAATGCCATGATACTCTACCAGCCTGGACTTCTGTATCTTGTCAACTATCTCCTCAAAGATGTCGACAACAACGAATCTCATTTCTACTTCCTTCTTTGCATGGGTGCATATCTCAAACTCGCTTCCTGTTTTCCTATCGTTGGGTGCATTGCTAAGTCCATCGTCAACATGGCCCTGGAGAGAGGTGTTGTGTTGCCCGCTGACGCTGCTGCTGCTCTAGAGGAAATTGAAATTGAAAGCAAAAAGCTCCCTGTTACTGGCCTAGGCGAGATGAAGTTCCACCATCCCATCGACCTGGATCTGGATCCGGGCCTGGGGCTGCATGAACATGATGCTTCTCATTCACTCCAACTTGCTAAAACCTATGAGGAGATGGCTTGGGAGGAGGACCAGAGCGTGATAGGGCCAACGCCAGAGTTTTGGAAAGGTGACCCAAGCTTACTGGATGGGACTCTTGGAAGCAGGAGAGATTTTTTTTGATAAAGAGTAGTGCCTTGAAGGAAGACATTTTGGGGGATGGAGTCCATGGGATTGCATAAGTGAGGAACAGTTGCACGGCTGAGGAATAGCACACATGAAGAAAGCTTACTATTGCAATAGAATGTACGAAGACCTTAGCACACAATAGCCTAATTTCAATTTGCATTGGAGCTGCTCACGCCATCTATATTCCTTTCTCTTCTTAATTGTATGAGTGTTTCAAAGCGCCACCTTCGTTCCTACTATTGTCCATTTTCAGTGTCTTCTTTTGGCCTATGCATATGTATTTAGTAACGCCATCCGCATCACACCATGCTCGCGTGGCATGCAACTGCCTAAGGAAGCTAGTCCATCCAAATCCGTCCTGGCCTGCGGGGTAGTCCACATGAGAATTGACCATTAGGGCGGCGTCATGTGTGCATTTCCAATGGTTAGTAATGCTCATCTTAACACTATATTAACTTCACTCCTCTTATTATTGCTCCCATCCCTTGAATCCTACCCAGAATCCCCATCTTGCAACCCCTCGGCCTCCCCAGCTCCCACTCCGAAACCCCCGAAACCCCCCAGCCTTCCCATCATGCCCCCACCCTCCTTCCGGGCCCTCCTCGGCATTCCCGCCTCAAGCGCATCTCCATCCGATCCCTCCACCGCGCTCATCATCATCGACGCGCAAAACGAATACGCGCACGGGAAGCTCAAAGTCACAAATGCAGAGGCGAGTGGGAAAGTGATTGCATCGCTATTAGAGAAGTTTCGGAAGGGGCGCGGGAAGATTGTGCATGTTTTGCATAAGACACCGAATGGGGCGCCGATTTTTACGCCCGGGACGCAGTTGGCGGAGGAGTTTGGGGGACTGAGGAAGGCGGTGAGTGTTTTGGGAGATTTCTTCTGATTTATTCTTGTTTCAATTTTTCAGGATGGTAGGATCGAGTTTGAATATCATGTGAGCTTGTGCGAAAAGATGTAGACACTCTAGTGCAACTGTATTAGCCTTAGGTGTTGTTGTTGAGAGAGTACGAGCTCGAAATTTATGTGGATAAGCTGATGATGAGAATCATATAGGACGGCGAAGATCTCATCTGGAAACAACACCCCGGTTCCTTCGCAGACACACCCCTAGACACCATCCTCAAATCCTCCGATATCAAAAAAGTTGTGCTAGTAGGCTACATGGCGCACGTCTGCATCTCTACCACCGCAAGGGAGGCAGTGCAAAGAGGTTACGATGTTGTACTTGTCGAGGACGCCATTGGGGATCGTGACATTCCGGCTCTGGGGGGAGAGGAAACTGTGTTAGGGGAGGAGGTGACGAGGGTGGTTTTGGCGGAGTTGGCAGATGTTTTTGGGACGGTTGTGCAGAGTAGGGATGTTGTGTGAATGAGTGGAGTGGGATGGGGCGTTGCAGCCCAGTATATATTCAAAGGATTTCAAAGATGGAAAATATTCTCGATCTCTCCCCATCTTGTGTATTTAAAACCCTGCACCTATGCCAAACTAATGCTTAAAAACAACGTTCTCGTTCACCATGAGCACGTTCAACTATTGCTAGCCCTCAATGTATACTGCGTAAATCGTAGCATCGAAGAGTCCAACACCAGAAGGCACGCAATCTAGTCCTTGAAACTTTAGGTACCTTAGCCGCCGAGAGCTGCGGGAATGTACGTGGTTCGACAAACTAGGCGTTGGGATTAGTGAATTGTGGAAGGAGGGCTGCAGAATAAGTAAGAAAGATAGGTGGAGATGCGAGTGCGGAAGGATCTCGTTTGACTGATGATGTGGTTGGAAACGAGAGAGTTGTAAGGAAAAGGGCGGACATGCACCTTGGGTACTTTACCTGTCCGGAAAATGTGGGAATGTCGTAACAGAGTTGCACTATACCGGCTTCAAGTTTGATGGAATTAGCCATCGATACCAATAGTATATCTACCTACTATTAGAGCCTCACCTTTCTCAAACCTCTCTTTCCTCAAGGTTTTCTGCAGGCATAAAGATCTGGAACATGGTCTTGGCGCCATGCAGCACTAAGATTATTCTCTGCCGCTGATGTTTAGGTGGAAACAAACCAAAAATTCAAATTTCATAACCATTTCAGGAGAAAGAATTGTCAGTGGCATGCTTAGAGTACTCTGGGCGTTTCTTGATCCTTAATCTGACAGAGAATGCAGAGGCGAAAAGTGTTGAATGCAGTATAGATGGTGCATGGATGGAAATCGGGATGAATATGAGAGGCAAGGAAATGGATAATCTCTTCTAGATATTCGCAACAGAAACAAACGTGTCATGGTTACACTCAGACAGATTAGATACTCGGTAACCAAAGCTGTGAAGTGGTGAGGGACATTAAATTATATATATGGGTGCACACGCCCTCACCTGCAGTTCAAAAGTGGAAACTTTAAAATTCGAAGAGGGGCAAGCGCCACGGAATGAATGGAGGAGAAGGGTATACCTATCTGCCGACTGTGCTACTTAGGCACAGCTCTCTTATTATTTACTCCACGTGTACGTACTAGCCACTCAGGCCCTCTGCACTGCCCACTTAGCTGTCTGCCACAGACCCATTACAAAGTGCTCCTCGCCCTCTTACCCCAGGAAACTTCGCCACTTTATCTTAAATTGATGTCGCTGAAGTTCATCGTAAACGACCACGAAAGTTTCCCTAAGCTGATCTGACGGCGTATCTAGCCCAAAATGCCAACCAGATCACAGCACCTCTCAACGACAAGACAAATCCTTTCTTGTTGGTCTTCAGGGTCAGATATTGATGTTAAGATGGTGAGCAGCTTTTTGAAATATTGAGATGGTGTACAAGGCAGTACTAGGGAATATGGCTACCTTCAAGACGCCAGGCTTCGTTGACCATCTTTCAAAAGTTATCATCAAGGGTTACCAAACTCATATCTCTCAATACGGTTATAGAATTATCGAAGCTCAATCACATATTCATCTTCATGAGATGTCTCATATTGGGATCGCAAATTGAATAACTACACGCCATAAAGGCCTCGACTGATTTAATCTAGCCAACTCATGACTGCAAATCACGTTCCCCTCAACCCTTCGTGATGCGCCGCTGCCTTGTCTCCATTATCGCAATTACCATTTCCGTCAAACATTCCTCAAATACCTTCCTTGAGCATTGGAGCAGTAGCATTACGCGGGTGCCTGATAGTGACCACCACGTCTGAATAATTTGTGAGGTCTTCAGCGTTCTCCTGGCACCCCGTAGGTTCTCTCTAAACAAATTAATGTACTGCTCCAGCTTATTTGCTAAGCGTGCCTTCTTAGGGCCAAGTAAGGCTAGAAGTAGATAAAATAAGAAGCTGATTCACTATTCTGTTCTAGTGATAGATAGGACTGTGGCGCTTGTCGCAGCTAAAGCGGATATATTCTATGGAGCCCCACTCACTTAGGCGCACTGGATTAGGCGTAAAAACTATGTATAACCTAGCTCTTAACTTCTTATCTATCCCTTCCACAAGCTGTGATTGCAAGAGGTGCTTTAGCAAAGCTAGAAGAACAATTATCATTAATTATAACGAGTTATAGTCCTCTATAACTAAGTATCTGCAGCTACAACGCAACCTAGATTGCTAGAGGGCTATATCTTTTTTTCACTTAGAGTTAGATAATATCCGCGACTATATTAGCAAGGGGTTCTCTAGAGCCCCTAGAAACACCAGTTACTGCAGTAACTACTCTGAACAGTAGCTCTGCCCTTCGTTAACTTAGCTGTAACTTTTACAGCCTGTAAGGCCAGAGCTTCCAACGGTCCGTACAAAGTGAACTGTAACGTTCACGTGTTTAGTATGAACATGCTGAGTTTGGAAGCTGCACTGTACGTTTAATAATGCCCTAGGTACAGTACATAGTATAGGTTGCATTACCATTTTAGGAAATCTGTATAGTGATTCTAGAGAAGTAGGAGGGCTCTAGTAAGCAGTAGGCGTATAGGCAGCATTTAGGGGGTTTTCTAGAACTCTGATTATGTTTGCAGTAGTCACGCATGGCCAACGCTTCCAACAGTCCGTAGTACGTTACGATTGAGCTTTTTTCTGCCAGTAACTTCTCGATTTGGTAGTACGTACGTACGTAAACGGTGGATTGATTGGCAGGTACGTAGCGTAGCAGTTACGGTTCAAAATCCTAGTACGTCTGTACTTCTCACCAACTGTATTAACGTAGTATGGTAGGTACGTCCCGGATCAACTGTTTTTCCGCCCCTGGATAAAGTCTCCCAGCTTGCTTAATTCACTCTCTACAACCTTATGACGTAACTAGTTCTTTTGAAGCTGCAGAGCCTTAATTGTATTAACCCTAAGAGAGTTCCTGTCAATTGTAATTGTCCGCTGGCCCCTGGAGAAGGCTCTCTTACAGTCGCAGCTTGTAGAGGGTATACAGAGGAAATCGAGGGCGATTTTGAAAAGTGTGGGGTAGGAGTGACGGCTAACTTCGAGCCACCGCCATTTAGCCGACTGATCAGGATGAGGTGCTACAGACTGTAGAGTTTTACGCGATTGTTACCCTAAATTGCGACCTTAAACAACACTCCTGACGCGATGGCTAATCGGGTCTAAAAACAGGTTGAAAACCTCCCAAAATATGACCTCTCAGTCCCGTACTACGGTACGTACCCGGCAATTCACTGTCCGTACAGTACGGCTCCAAAAACGACTACGTTTGTACGGCTCACGTGACAGGTACGTTAACGTACTACGTCTACGTACTACGGACTGTTGGAAGCGTTGCGCATGGCTCACACCATAGTCGCATGCATTCTCACGATGGTCTCATGTTGACAAGACTTACCCCTTTTCTTGCACATATATAGACTTCTAGGTGCACTCCTCTAGCAATCAATCCAGTTCCTTATATCTCTGTGCTCCCACAAGCTTCACAAATTAGCTAAAAAATTTATAAGAACACCTAACTCTCTTTCTAAGTGTATTAATCCATCTACCTACCGTCTGTTCTCTTAAAAATCCCTATTACTAGCTATTTTTCATTAAAGTGTTATTTATTAACATGCTGTAGTGGTTCATTCGTGTTCGATGCATGGTGTTGGGTTGTTTTTTTTGATTGTCCTCCTCCCTCTTGCCTCGAGGTTGTATCAGGTCTCTCCCTAGAGATGCATACATCATAGGACTGCTAACCTAATATTACCCTAAACCCCTTTTTTTCTAAGGCCCTGATGTTGGATCGGGCCCTGCAGCTTTGACAAAGGGTTTCACAGAATTCAAAACGCTCTTAGACCGCCAAAACTGTCTTACGACGGGCGAGTTTCTGAAAAGCATTAAGATGAGGAGTGCCCTATTGTAGACAATATTCCGGCTTCGGAGGTTATCGAGTCTATCTTTAGATTGAGAAATAGTCATGGCGAAAAGGTTATTCAATAGCTCACGGTGCTCACCCCCCAGGATATCTAACGGCAACTGTTTTGCTGGTCAGACAAAAATCTTCATTAACAAAGCGAGACTTCTAGAAATACTCCCAGGGTTAGCTAGATCAAACAACATACAATCTATGGTGTGCTTGCACAAGACCGCAAGTGTGACTACTGCGCTGAAGGCTCGCTAGGAGGAACTGGCTTTGTTGGACCTGAATTCCAACTATACATCGGAGTAATATGAAATATGACATTTGTAAAGCAGATTTTAAAAAGACACCAGCTGAATGGGGCATTATACTATCTATAAGGTCATTCTGAACAAGTTCGTCATCCTAAGAGGAAAGCAGTAGGTACTGAATTTCATCCCATTGCTTGCCCCACACCAATTTCCAGAACATACACTTAACCTCATTCCATTTTAGCCCTTCTTTGCCGCTTTCAGATTGTTCAGATTGTTCAGATTGTTCCGGGGGGCGTTTCATGCGCCCATATTGTGTCGTTTCTGGAATTCCAATTACAAGCCTCAATTTAGATGTGTTCACGGACGGTCCATTTTACCGGTAGGTAACCCCGCCCAGACATATAATATTAACAACGGCACATCACCACTTCCACCATCGGTAAATAGAACAACGTCGCATACTTAAATACCGACTGTTTGCACATCCTGGGTCAAGCCTGCACCATTACCGGGCACACGATTTTCTCTTTTCCGACTTCGCAGGTGCTAATTCGAGTCGCAATGGTTTTCCCTACAATGGGAGCCGTCTTCGGGACCATCGCAATACTCTCAGGAACTACTATTTTTGTCTCAGCCGTGGATTGCACTCGTGAGGGTTTGCTTACTGCAGCGCAAAGCTACATCACAGCTCAGACTTCTGGCAAGATCGATGGTCTAAAACTCTCGGCAAGCAACTTCACCTACCAATTCAATAACAAAGCCGCCGATATCTCCAAAGGACAACTGTCCCAAGCTCTCAAACTCGACCTCAACCGCACTTCTGCTGACACTGTCGCTTGCGCAAGCTACACAATGTTCATCTCGACTTCTGGCTCGAAGCCGTATGTAGTTGGCACACAAATCAGACACAAGGACAACAACACCGACGAGATTGCGATTATCGACACCATTTCCGCAACGACAGGGGACCTTTTCTTCAACGCCAAGGACACTCTCAAATATATCCAAGCTGAAGACTGGACCGCCATCCCTGCAACAGGTCGCCCGTCCCGTGAGCTTCTCAAGAAAGTTGGCGACGGGTACCTGGACATGTGGACCGATGCGAAAGCTGCTGATTCAATCCCGTGGGGCACCAACTGTGAGAGGGTTGAAGGGTCGAAGCTGACGAAGCCGTGTGGTGGATCTCTGCCACACGGTGGGAGCTCGAAGCAGAATGGAATGCGGAGATATGTTATTGATGAGACACTTGGGAGTGTTGATGTTTTGTGTCAATTTGATTCTTTAGGACCTTGGCCTGACAGCCATGAGGTTAGGGTAGTTGATGGGAAGGTTAAATACGTGCACACTATCACGGTCATGTCAAAGTGAAAATAGACGGGGTTGCGAAAAGCGAAAAGAATTTGAGATCAAACTTCAAATACAATATACGCGCGTTGGCACGTTCGTTTTTCTTGGGCTTCTGATACAGTATATTGGTCCTTCAATAAAACATAGAAAATACTACAGTGAGGGTAGTACTTATGATCTCACACTTCTAGACTATGTTCTGCAATGTACGAAGGCGGTAGACATAGTGGGCGTGTTGAGGAGCGCTTATCTCAGCTAGCTCAGCCGGGGTGATGAGAGAACCAAGGACGCTGCCCCAAACAGAGTATGGCCTAGGGTTAGCAGTTTCTAACCCCTGTAGCTAGAGTTTCTCCTATTAGGTATCTAAGAAATTTTTATAATTTTCTTTATAAAGCACTCTAGTTTAAGAGTATAATAATAAAATTAGATTTAACGTATTTCACAAGCAAACAGTCTATACAGCCAGCTGCTAAAAGACTAGTTCCCCAAGCCACCAACACAAGCCCCACGCATTCTACCTAGCATTATTGCATTGTAATTGTATGTTAACTATATAGTAATTTAATGCAATTTTAAGATTTCTAGTATTATAATATACTTAGTATTTAGTCTAGTACCTACGCGCGCGCTGTACAGGTAATAGGTGTTAAGGCATAACGTACACCACAGGCGAGTTGCTTACACACCTAAGTTGCTTACTTTTACTAAGACCCTACTAAACTACTTTTTTTACACTAATGCATTTCTAATAACACTACTTAGGTGTGCTAAAAAAAAATATTAAATATAGCTTACATTTTAGGCTTTTAAATAAAACATAACACTTTTAAAGTAACTGTTAGATTGAAGCACTGTTTCTAGGCTTCCTGAGATGAATGATGGGTTTTGATATGATGTATGGGATGATGATTGATTGTATTGATTTATCGATCCTTTTTCTGCTCTACTCGTGTTGCTCGGCTTTTTGTTTTGCCGATCCGAGTCCCTCGCGCACTTGCCCTATGCGCGACCAGCTTGCAACATGCTGCAATTTGCTGCAAAATGCTGCAAAATGCTGTAACATGCTGCAAAATGCTGTAACATGCTGCAAAATGCTGCAACATACTGTTCGAGCTTATTGCTCGTACTATGTAGCAGCTTTCGTCAAGCGTTCCTCCTGTCTTGACAGTAGGTGCGCATATCTGACAATAGCTTAAGTATATACTTAATAATTACTTACTTTTTATTATTATTTAGCCTTTATAAGTTAGCTATAAAATTAGCTTATAAAAGTTATTTAGTATATTAGTTATTTATTATTTTTTAAAAGACCTTATACATAGCTGCAGCATGTTACTTTAAAAGTGTTATATTTTATTTAAAAGCTTAAAGTGTAAGCTATATTTAATATTTTTTTAGCACATCTAAGTAGTGTTATTAGAAATGCATTAGTGTAAAAAAAGTAGTTTAGTAGAGTCTTAGCAAAAGTAAGCAACTTAGGTGTATAAGCAACTTGCCTATAGTGTACGTTATTTATATTTTAAATTTAGGTTAATAGTAGTTACTACTTTTCTAACTAGAAATTAACAACTAGTAGACTAGATTTCTTAGAATTTTATAAGCTTTTAATAAATCTAGTCTAAAGTAGCTTCTAAATCTTTAAAGTTCTTAAACAACAGCTAGCTAAGTTAAATATATAGAAGTAATTACAATATCTTTAGCCTAATATCTAGCTTAATAACTAGCAGCCTAGATATGTTAGAATTTTATAGACTCTCTAACAGAGCTAGTTTACAACGTTCTAAAGCGCTAGTTCTAAGCAGGAAAAGGGTGAGAGGTGAAGGACCCACATTCACCCTGAGCCGGGTCACGTGGACCAATTTCACGTAAGACATAATCTACCCTCCAAATTCTGCAAAACTCACATTCCGACTACAATAATATCCTTTGCCGTGTTGTGCAAGAGCTCAAACCTGCGCCTGACCCAAATTCGTATCCTCTGCGTAGAAGTCTGGCAATTTCCTTCCCAACTAGTCTAGTCTTTTGGAGTTTTTACAAACTCGTTAAACCGATGCCTAGGGATGCAGAGAATGCTTTTCACTGACACCTCCCCTCCTTAGACTGCAATGCTGTTGTGGGAGCTTTGTGATTTCTGATACCCTGGTGGCACTTCAGAAGACGAGGAGCTACATTCCTCTGTAATAACTTGTTCAAAACCCTTAATTTTGTCCTCTAGTCGCAGCTTATCTAACGTGTTTAGAGGAGCTCTAGCAGCTACCATCTAGCGATGCACCGGATTTATGTTGTCCAGAGAATGAGGGCCTATTGAGACAGCTTAAAGCCCCTCAGGATGCCTCTGGTACTCCTACCGCCCCTTCCTTACTTGGGCGCCCGAGACGATTGGACAGGCTTAGGCTCTGTCGCTCCAGGTTAAGCAGAAGTTGCCGATCGGCTAGCTTCATTACGTAGAATCTCTCCAGATCTATAGGTAAGAAGTTGGCGTAAGCCATCATGAGACATCAGTTGAAATTAGTTACCAATTGAACCCACCCCCCGCACCCTCTTTTACCAAAATGTCTTAAAACTGATGGCGTTTGTCACTTTGACTTGTCCTCTCCTTATTTTTAACATGTTTCGCATACACACCGTAACGTATTCGCCATTGAATTTCGGTAAGCTCAATTTTTTGGTGTGCAGAGTCCCGGGGCTGAATTCGAGCCAAACTTTGGGATGCCAGTGTTGAGGCTGGCGAAATGTCCCCTCGCTACCATTCAGGACTCTTCTCTGCCCAACAGTTTTTTTCCCTCAAAAGAGACACTTCTCCTCAACGCACCACTTGAATATGCCGCCTCAATCCCTACGACCAGCTTCACACAAGCCCGATCAAACATAGCATACCGACAGGAACCCAACCGTACGATGGCTCACCTGATACCCCCTCTTTCTATTAGTAGAGGAGTCCTAAGCCCAAAAGTGACTTCTAAGGTGTCTCTAAATAAGTCCGCTGACGCTTCGAAAGGATCTACCTGCGCCATATGTTATGAGCCTTTCGAGACCTGCGATGTACAGCCCACTCCTCCTGGTGCCCATGCGCTCTTCTTGACGCGATGCCGTCATGTCTTTGGCCGATCTTGTCTGTCTACTTGGATTCAATCAGGGCAGCAGAATTCCAACAAGTGTCCCTATTGCAGGGCAGAGCTTTCCCCCAAGATGTTCACTTCACTTGGGGATCGTCTCAATCTGACCTGGCTTGAGGACCACCGAAATAATGAGGATGTCGCCTGGCAGGGGTACCACGACGAGCTCAACCGAAGTTCGTCTGAGCACTCTCGAAGTTCTTCACGTGGGCATCGTGAACATCACAACTGGGTGGAGGATGCTTATGGGTATGGTGATGACCCCGGCTGGTATGACTACTATTGGCCGCTTTATTCTGACGCACTGTAAGTATGCCTCGTAAAAAAAAAAAGGAGGAAGAATCATTTTTCTAACGCACACTAGCGACTCCACTTTCCTGCCCCCGACGATTTCCGAACGCTCAACGCCACACCACAATGTTGTCCCTTCACTCTCAGCTGGAGCGCAAACAGGTTCCACATCGCCTGCATGGGAGGCTGATCTCGCTAATGGACTATCTGCATCATCGTTTGAATTCGGCTTCAACGCGTTCCCGAGAGCGATTCAACATCTACTAAGTCCAGCAATGATTGACGCGAATGTTGCTTACAGGCAACGTGTGGTGGATCAGCTATTGCGGGACCATGAGCGGATGATCTGGGGGACCGAGCAAGTCAATAACTCAATCTGATGGTAATGTGGTGCATGCTCTCATAGCTTTCTTCGACCTAGTGGGGACTGTCGCGGTTGGGCTGGATGAAGAATAAGACACAGCCCGACAAGAGGTTGATTATTGTTTCAAAGCTTCTTTCGAACCGCTCTATAAAATAGATGTCGCCTTTAGAGCATATATTTTGTTCAGCTCATACTTGTAAGAGGGTTCGGGAATGCGCTATTTATCTCTACCGAGCTGCATATCCTAAGATTGCATGATCAAATCATCAATTACTATCCGAGTGATTAAATTAGGTGTCGTCATTCCCAAGGAGTCATTAACTAATTATCTAAGTCAAAGTTTGGGCAAGAGCCCGACCCCCAAGAACGCCCGCACACATGACCTAACGCTTCACCCCAAGCCCCTCCTTGAATCCTCAATCCCATCTCTTTAGCTCCCTTTCTAACCTCATCTCTTTCCAGTTTTCCAATCTGCGTGCTATTGACGTATCTCCTCTAGCTCCTGGCTTTAATCCCACCCAAAGAACACATTACCATGACTCAACGTGGCGATTTTCCTCCAATGGATTCCTTGCAGGCCAGACCCAAGTTCTATCCTATCATTTCTGGAGTTATATCGCTTATTAAACGACTTCCAGGCCTTCTCTCCCGTCCTTGATATACCACTACCCCTCTCTAGTCTCATCCAAAGTTCACCGGATGCTCACATCGTTCCCCTAACATATCAATAGTGTATTCACAATCCATAGCACCCTCCGACGAATCTACCCGAATAAGGAATTCCTCTCGGCACAGCGAAAACTGAGTCGTAAAGAAGGTTAAGCTTGATCCAGTTGCATCTTCCCACTCACCTACTGACAAGAATGTGGAAATCGCCACCTCGACAGGAAACACCTCCATTAAGACTGCCATATTTCCGTCTTACACTACGGATTCAAGTGGAAAAAACGATAGTGAGATGTCCGCCCACATCTGCCAGTCCTTGAAAAGGTGTCTTTCAGCCAGTCAGCAGCACCGCTCCAATCTCGCTTCCGGTCACGACCCAGGAACAGAATGCGTAGTACAAGAAGCTAGAAAAGTCCACCCTGTTCAAGTATCGCGATAAAGCAGCCCAGCCATCGCTCTCAAGTTGGCCAAGGGTTTGTTTGTGCGTGCCGGTAGGGCGAAGATAAAGAAAGAGAACTAGCAGACTTTCATCGAACCTACGCTGCGCGATGGCAAGCACAACGCGCTGAGGGCACTGACCTATGGCCCCGCTTAAGCACACTTCTAAGACAAGGAATATCGTTCTCGACCCGAAACTCACCTCTGCCTTCATCTGTGGCCGACGTGTCTACTATTCTAAATAGATCTCCACCTACATTAGTAGGCCGCTGCCTCCCATGACGAATCCATAGTAGCCCCAAGAGTCTCTTAATGTGGCAACGTAGCTTAAATATCACCCCCTACATCCCAATCTCCAGAGTAATCGTTCAAAGTCCTATCTTTGGAATTCACTTTCTCTATAGGTAGCCCAACACACTCATTCCCTTTCGGTAGCATGATCGCCTAGGGTTGCCCTATTTCTCGCAACGAGGAGCTAAATTCTAAGCAAGAATCATCGAGTGAAGGATAGCCCACGAAAACGAACGTATCCATATCTATTCATAGTACCTCAGGCCTAGAGACACCCTCATAGCCACCGTCCACCTATGGACAAGGGTCCACTGCTGTCAACGGCTTGGGGTCCTTCAGCTTATCCTAGAAGCCTAGCAGATCTTGGTTGTGGATAACGAAGGCAGGCTTTCCAACACTCTATATCCGAAACCGAAGGCGGACGAGCCGAGACTGCCACCACGATCCAAATTAGGACTTCCAATAGGCCGTACTACGGTCGGTACAAAGTGAACTGTAAAGGTCACGTGTTCAGTACAAACGTACAATAGGTGCCAAGAAGTCATCATCCTCTCGCTTAACTTACTATATTGGGTCAACCCACACACCTCAAAATTTTCCGCACCACTTGTTCTCCTCCTTCTCCACACTACTACCATGCCTTCCCAACCCAAAACTGCTTGCTGTGAATATAATAAGCCTACCCTTACTAGCATCTAGGCGCTCTTTTGTATTAGTTTTAGCCTTTTAAAGATATAGAAGACTTTTCTTATTCTAATTTTATTAATTAAGTTAATACTTAAGTAGTTATAAAAATGTAAAGATAAGCCCTAAAAAAAGGCCTATTATATAGAGAAACCTCTAAAGCTTAATAAGCGCGTAGAGTAATAATTAGTATAACACTTAAAGTAGTTTCTCTTTAAAATGTATAAAGTATTTACTACTTCTAAAAAAACAACAACTGTAATCTACGTTAATATAGTAAAGTAATACTTATAAAAAAATAAGTACTACGCATTTAAACTATATGCTAAGCTTTACTTTAAGCTCTTTTATAAGCTTAATTATTATTACTAGAGTGCTTATATAAAAACTTAGGATAATAATAACTTTAAATATGTCTACTTTTTTAATAAATTAACTTTTAAAGTAGGACTTTGTAACGGCGCAGGCAAGACAATGGGTCCGAATGCGGTATGAATCCACTCAGAGGCATATGGGAGTGCGTGGGGACTCAGAGACCTGGGAATACCAATGACACCTATAGGCCTTGTACGTAGGATATCAGAAAACTACCGAGCTAGCTACAGGGGCGAGGTGCGACTAAATACATGAGGGAATAGGGGTAACAGCAGGGGTTGGGGCCAGGTCAAGGTCGGGGCCGATACGGGGGCCTTCCGGGCCATCCAAGATGGAACGATTCATGAGGATCGTTACAGACTTATCTCTACTACTTAATACTATAAGTAAAAGAAGGGAGTATTATGTGTGTATAAATTTTAATACTTAAAGCTTACTTTTAAAAGCAAAAAAAGCTCTATTAAAGTATAGGCAGCTATATCCTAAGATTTTAAGTTAAAGCTAGTTATACTACCTTAAGGTAAGTAAATAAACTTAAAAAGATACTATAATAAAGTCTTAGCTACTTATATATAGCTATTTTATACTAAAGTCTTTAAAAAACATAGTATTATATTATAGCAAAAGAATAAGGCTTTATACTATAAGTTAAAGATAACTATAGGTTTCTAAGAAAAGCTTTATATAGATTATATAGTGTAGCTAGCATAAAGTTTTAATTTAAATTTTATTAAAAACCTTTAGCGCATTATAAAGATTTAGATTTTAAAAAAAAAACACTAAATAAGTAATATTAAAAAGATAAAGTCTATTCTAAAAAAGGAGTAAGATAAGTTAAAGCTAGAAGATTAGCAGAAGTGTATATTATCTATGCCCTAGCGCGTTACTAACATTAGGGCTGCCCAGGGAGGCTCTACCTGCTAGCAAATAATTACTACTCTAAAAGATTCTCTGTTATTAATTTTATTATATAAATTAAAAGCTTTAATTTTTAATTACAATCTATCCCTAAAATCCTTATAGAAAACTGCGTGGGCAGATCGTATTCGCTTGCGCACGGTGCGGAGGATGATCACTTCCTGGCACCTACTGTACCAAGTTCGTGAGCTGCACTGTACGTTTAACAGTGACCTTGGTAGAGTACGTAGTCTAGATTTTATTACCCTTTTAGGAACTTTTTCTAGCAAATATAGAGAAGTAGAAGGGCTCTAGTAAGCAGTGCGTCTAGGGGTTTTCTTAGGCTCTAATTAGCTAAAGGTTTTGTAAGGACTATGTTGCAAGGCAATCACACGCTGTTAAAGGCGTAAGCTTATGGTGTCGATTTAACGCTCCTAAAGAATCAGGGTAAGGTAATCTGCTGTTAGCTTTGCTATTGGTGTTATAAGCAAGGGTTTTAAGGCGCTAGGAAGGTAGTAGATAGCTATAACTATATTATTTAGCAACTGCTAAGAGCGCATAATGTTAAATTTAATAAAGAGCGCTTACCTAATAGCGTACAACTACTGCAGCACCTATAGGAGGTAGCCAGAGGAGCAGCAGCCTTGTTGCAGGAGTTATCTTATACACTATAGCAGGAGGATCTTTTACGCAGTGCCCTAGTTAACTGCTAGATACAAAACAGCCTACCTTATTCTCTTTAGGATTTCCCTTAATTTTCTTACAGTCCTGGCTACTAGTTACAAGTTCAAGAGGTGTTTTAGCGCAGCTAGTTATAGAGTAACTAATACTTAAGGCTACTTAACTCTAGAAGAGCTAGTTATAGCATAAGGTATTAAGTAGCAAGCTTTTAGACCTGTTATGGGTTAGACCCATAAGGACCTGCAAGCGGGCCAGATTAAGGATCTGGATGGGACCCGGCCTCTAGGTGGAATACCCCATCTAGCTCATAAATATTAACTACGCAAGCTGAATCCTCGCTGATTCAACTTGTGTATGCCTTTTGGCTCTCGCTTAGTTGTGCCGATAATCCCATGGATCTGAGCCCCTGTTACAAAACCTCTCGACTCTTATTGTAATGGCTTGGCGCAGCTGGAGTGTTGAATTCGATGAAGAAGAGGAACTGTGTCCTCGCTACGGAATTGGTTTTTATACCGCAACACCTAGCTAGCTAAGGTCTAGCTTGGGGGTAGCGTTGTCAACAAGCTACCTTATTGCCTCTTGCAATACGACCGACGTGTGCCGCATTTTGCTGCAGTTTGCTGTAGTTTGCTCCATGCCCTTCCTAACACTCCCAGCTAATCTCTGCCTGATACCCTACGCACCAGCCCATTACACTTAGTACCAAAAAGAATCAATTATCTGATAGCTAACTGGATCTTAATTAAATATTTCAACAAATTATAATCTTAGCTGTTTTAACTAGAGTATAGCGTACCTTATTAAATTATACTATTTGTACAGATCACGTGAGCTGTTTCAGCTACAATATGTACACCAACCTCTCCTCCTCACTGTTGAACGAACGCACACAAAATCGAGCCTGTACAGGCCTTAAAATCGCCCAATAGTATAGTAATACGCCTCGTTAGAAGGGCTGTTCAAAATATTCCACCGAGATCATAG